AGATCTTCAAGATCTATTTCTTCTGTTTGTGGATGTGGGTTTCTTTGCTTTCTTTTTTTTGGAGTTGGAGGAGGTTTTCGACTAAACTGAAAATGAAAATAACAATGGTAGTAGCAAAAAATATACATGGAGTAAAATGTTAAAGTATGAGTTATACCTTTGATGTTATTGTCGTGAGTGTTGTCTCTTTGACTTGACCTTCATTTTTCGATAAACTAGCAGCCTTTTTTGTTGCAGCTTCCCTAGCAGCGGCAACTTTGTCTTTTATTTGTTGCTTCGATCGATAGCTAAAATAATGGACAAGTTAAAATTATCAAAATTAGAAGGGTGTTAAAATTTTGGATAAGATAAGTCGAAAAGTCCTCATATTCTGCACCTTCATGTATTGGAGACATTATGTGAACATGCTCGATGTTGACATGAAGGTGGCCTTTGAATCTCTCCAAAGTATGCTTAGTCAGAACCACCCGTTTGGCAAGTTTTTGAGAATCCTGTTGAAGGAGTTTTAAGTTAGACCAACAGACAAACCATTCTGAGAATGGAGGTCGAAATCCCAAGCCAAAATCAACACTTGGTAGCGGTGGGGAATTTGGAGGTTAAATTTTAAAAGCTAACTCTTACATGTCTTCGTGCTTGACACACAAATGGATGTTTAAGGTAGGGAGTTTCTTTGTAAAGTTTTATTTTAGTGTAAATGCTGCTTCACGAATGGTTCGGCTAAAATCATCAGGCTTGTAGGAAGTTTCAAAGTATTTCTGGAATGCTTAGATTTTCTTGATGTGAGTTGCCATACCTTTCTTAAATCTCTCCTGTATAGAAGCAAAAGTATTTTTTAAATGTTGAGTAAAGGCATAAACTCGAAGATCTCTTTAGTGTAATAGTTTCTCCACTAAGTATCAAATTCTTGAGTAAAATAAAATGATGGTTGAAAAGATATGGGAGTAAGTCTAGAAGCTTTGGCATATCGAGATACATGTTTGTCACACTCATCCTCGGTAAACCACATATTGTAAAGACAAAGAGTAGCTTTTATTTTGTAGAGTGGCTTGGGCATGGATTGGTTGAGACCAAATTGTTGAGAGACAAGGTTAGGTTGGTAACTAACTAAGATAATTTGGTCCTTCGAGGGCCTAAGTCTTGTTGCAATCAATCTATGGACTATAATTTCCTCCCATATGGCCAAGGATTCTACTTCCTTATCAGTCGAATGAGTAGAGAATTCTCTTGTAAACAACTCAGGACCATGGGTTCTATTGGCTTAAGGATCCATGGAGGGAGTGAAGTTGTAGTGCTTGGCGAACATCATCATGTATCCCGTGAAAGAATCTTGCAGGCTTGGTCCTTCATCACTTGAGGTCAATTGAACTAATTGTGTTCCTTCGACTCTTCTGTTTTTTATCTTTTCATCTTCTTCTTCAATTGTGTTATGGGTTAGGACTGAAGGCTCAAAGGTGGCGTTTAACCAAAGTTGAAGTAAGCAATAGGGACTAGCCAACAACAAGTTCGTCCCCAATTTATAATTCTTCAGGAATTCAACAACTTCTCCTAAGGATTCATAGGGCGAACCCAATATCAGTTCACTTATGAAAATATTACGTCCAACATGCAACTAATTCTCCAAAGTTAGGAATCTTTTCTCCACTTAAAGAGACTTGAGCAGAAAATACAATGTGATAACCAAAGAGCTAGAAAATCAATGTGCTCTTCGTCAAAAACTTCCTCAGTTGTTTTGTCATGGTGATCAACCATGTAATGGGTAAATCTAGCTCGACTAGCATCGAAGCTAATGGTATCCTCAAGCATTTCGAAAGGATTAAAGGCTTCCCCATTTGGCCGAAGACCAATGATTACAGCAATGTCAAAGAGGGTAAGAGTTATCATCTCGTAAAGAAAATGGAAAGTTTTATGAGAACTATCCCAAAAATATAGAGAGACTACTAGCATGTTTTGACTATAACCTGGCCCAACCTTTGACAGTTGAATCATGTCATAGATTTTCATCTCTTTCCAGATTTGGGATTTTTTTCTTCTTGACTTTGGCAAGCCAAGCGAGGTAATGTTCAAGGTCTTTGAAAAAAGGGCAATAGAAAAACACTCTAAGAGTGTTTCTCATATAATCTAAATTAATAGGTTTTTTCATCTCTAAGGCTTCAGTCGAAGACTTTGCTTGATTGTCATCTATGGTTTGTACATATGAATCTGGTTTAATAGTAGTATTTTCATCATCAGCTTTTTTCTTTCTAGCTATGGGTTTTGTACGATGATAAGTGGGAAAAACTCTTGGATTTTTTTAGTATCAACGCCATGGTCAGACAAAGGACTCATATACGCATGAGTTTCACCAGCGATAGTAAGAGGAATAAGTACACAAGATTGATAGATTTTACACTTTTCTTCACGTAGAGGGGGTTCAGGAACATATTATTGATTCCCTGTTAGAAATGGCTTTGTGATCTGGGTAACAAGTGATGAGGTTTCATGTTGTTGCTTGCCAGCTTTGCTGTTCTTGGTATTCAAAGGCTCCGTTGTTGAAAGATTAATCTTGGAGATGAAAAAGTTGTTTGGATGTGTTTCTGAGAAGAAATCGCAAGAAGGATAAAGTTTTAAGAGCTAAAGAATGGAAAAAGTTAAATGAGGAAGATGAATGATACTTATAAAGGAACAAAAAAGTTGTTCAATTTCCTTTGATTAACAAATGGAGTTAGTGGGATGCGTGTGCGCTTTTTAGAGGCTAGTCAGGAAGTTGTCTTTTCAGTTGCCATATTACTCCTATAAAGTGGGGATAATAATGAGTTATTGCAATTTTGCATGTCTCTATGAGACTTTTGAAGAAAGATGCTAATGATGACCATGACGTCACAACAGTGAGTACTGTCGTGTTGAGGCTTCAAAAAATGTCTTTCTCCAAATGGTCGAAAAAAGATATTTTTGGGGAGAAATTTGTTAGTTGTAACTTTAATGCTTAGGAAAATACGGAATATCAAATACATTTGAAGAAATTATTTGATGTAGACAAGTTGATTTCGACTAGGAGGTCAGTTGAAGACTTCGACCAGGTATTCGGCGAAGAAGCCTCAGACCTGCGAAATGATACTATACTAGGACTTAGAAGGTTTTTTGGACTTGATTTGAAAGTGAGTTTGACAAAGATAATTTGAAATAAGGCTAATAATCATATTTTTGCCTTATTCGTTCCTTAAAAGATACGTGTGGAAACCTGTGAAGGACGGAGTGCATGCAAGCGAGAACGTGTCATTCTTTAGAGAAGAGACCGTTCATTACTGTTATTGTCGAAGTCATACAAATAGGGATCTTAGCATTAGGATTATGTGTGTTTAATTGTACCAAATTCAAAATCACTTAAAATATCTAAGTGTATTGAGAAAGAGTTTTCTGAGTAAAATGTATGTATGAATCATCATATGTACATTTGATGTCAAATCATTTACTTTCAATGTCATTTTGATTCCATTTAAGTTTTCTGTCGAAATTACTTTACATTCTTGCACTTTTTTACAAATCGTCTTTGCGTTACTTTTAAGATCTTTAGTAGTGTCGAAGTGTTCATTTTGAAGAAGACTTAACAAAACTAGGCACATATGTTCTATGATAAATCCAGTTGATCCTGTAAATAACTGAAGTATCAATTTTTGAAGACTAGAGGTTGTTTACCAAAATCCAAGGTAAGCAGGTATATAATCTAACAAATGTTAATTACTTATATTTTCTAAAGTTTAATTCATTTGAAATTATATAACAGATTTTAAGTAGTTAGAAAATAATTTTTCTACTAAAAAACTTTTGAGTCGATGATTTGTTGGTCTTTTGGCCACTTACGGCCTAGGAGTCATACTCAATTTTTTTTTTGGGTTTAGTCAACTAGTTTTGATTCATATAATGAACCGACTAGTTTGGTTTTGTGGTTTAGAGAGACAACTCACTGGTCAAATCTTATTTTCACCAAGAATTAAACTAGGGTAATACTCGAACGATTTGTCCTTACTCGTACTCAAATTTTGTAAATATATATTTTCGTACTATATTAATGTTCATAAAGTGTTTCTATTTATATAAAAATTTATGTTCTTGAAGAGAAGCAAACATTTAAAAGTTTTTAGCATTGTTCAATTAGTGTGAGTCTCTATTCGGCCACCCTTTCCGTCAAAGATTTTTGAAGTTATTTGGAAACTGCCTTCTTGGAGATGGATTAAAGTGAATTATGATGGAGCGTTTTTAAACAATTCGGGGATTTCAGCTTGTGGAGGTATTTTTAAAGACCACAGAGGTTGTTTTCTTAGTGCTTTTTCTCAATTTTTGGATATTTCCATCTCTCTCAGCCGAACTTTCAGGAGCTATGTCAACCATTAAATTTGCCTATGAGAAGTGTTGGACTAATTTCTGGTTGGAATCTGATTCAGTTGTGGTTGTTCAGGCTCTCAAACCTCCATATAAAGTGTCTTGACAAATTCGTAATAGATGGGTAAATTGTGTCAATCTAACTACTAGAATGTTTTTTGTTGCTTCTCATATTTACAGAGAAAGAAATACTTGTGCGGAATCTCTGACTAACTTAAGTCTCACAATTGATGATTTCATCCGATTTGATTTATTATTCTTGTATTTGAGAGCTGACTTTATAAAAAATAGATTAGCATTGTCTTTCTTTAGATTTTCGACTCATTAAGAGGGTTGTGGTCCATTCCCCCTCTTTCTCTTTTGTACTCCTCCTTGTTTCTTTTAATATATATTTTATCTTATTTAAAAACAATTAGTGTGAACTAGCCTTGCTTAAAAAATCACAAATATTTTTAATACTAGATACATTAATTAGATAATATCACCATTCTTCACAACAGGTTTAATTAAAATATAAAAAATTTACAGAGAAATAAGCACTCTTATTTACCACATTGTTTCGTGCACAATGCGTATGAACACTAGTGTTGTTAAAACAAATTGGATTTCTACTCATTAAAAAAAAACTTTATTATATACAACAACTAAGCTGCAGGAGGTTCAGTTGGATTTGTTTCAGCTTCTTTCAGTAGCTTCAAAATCTCTTCTCTCTTAGCCACCATAACCTGTATCTTGGCATCTAACTTTTCAAGCTTTTGCTTAAGCATTGTAGGATCCTTTTTATCTTCAGGGTTCTTCTTCTTTTTCTCTTTTTTTTCCTTCTTATCCTTCTTATCGACCTCAACCTCTTCTTCATGTTTAACTTCTTCTTCCGTTCCTCCCATGCTTGAAAATTGTTTTGTAATAGATTATGATTTTATTTTCCTCTGAAAAATCAATAGTATTGAAGACAGTCAAAAATCTCATATCTCATGTTTATGTATATTTTAACTTTCAATGACATAGACATGCATATATATAAAATTAATAAAAAAAATCCAGAAACTGTTGAACAAAGAAATGAAAGAAAATATCACCTGGTAGCTGGACTTCAACAAAAGTGCTTAATCAACATACAAAACAAACTCAATTTGTATGGAATTGGCAGAGCCAGAGTGCAAAATCTCCTTCACTAATTTTCAAGACAGATTAAGCGGAAAAGCACTGATACCCGTATGTTTGTAATTCAATGGTTCTAAATTGTACTACAATTTTTTCCACTAATAGTCACTGGTCCCTAATTATTTGCTGTTTTTGACTTTTCTATTTGCTATCTATATATATTATAAAAAGATTCGTCTGATTGAAAATTATCATATCATGGATGAAGCCTATGAAAAATGATATTAATTTGAAATTATTTTAAAACATTATAAAAAAAAATCGTTAAATCAATATTAAACTATGATACAAATGTTTTTTTCCGACACTAGAATTATAAAATTTATACATAGAAGACAAACGGACAACAAACTGCGCATTTATTTTTTTTTAGATAACAAAATCGATCCTCTTAAAAACTCCTTTCATAGACCTGAGATACTGTTCCATGTGCAATGCACGCGTACATTATCTTTCATAATATATGTAGCCAAAAATTAAGTGATCTAAATGAACACTAAAATTAACAAGAGATAAAATCTCACAGTGATGATGAATTGATGAAGGAAAGGTTTAGTGAATAGTGGCTTTTGACTTAAATCCATGGCAGCAATGATGTGTGGTAGTCTACCTGCATACAATTCAACACTCAAATCATTGAAGTAGGCCAGAGGTGAAAAATGAGACATACCTTTATTTCTATTATGAAGGAAGGAGGTGTTGTTCTTGGACTTGGATCATCCCAAAAATCCACCATGGAACATAAAGTAATAACTTTTCATTAGTTTAATATAAATTTGATCGTCATATAACTACGTAGATGTATAGTGAGGGATTTGGAAAGCATGCAGTAACTATTTATCACACAATATTTGATCTCATCCATCCAGTATCAGAATAACGCCGGCCGAGATTGTTACTTCTCCGACCACAGGAAATCTGGATCCAGATATGGGGACCAAAACAAGATAAAAAATGCTAAGGTTTTATACAATTTTATTTGAAAGGGTTTAAACAAATTATTACAGAGCAAACTATAAACATCATAGATGACTATCCTATAAATATCATAGATAAATCTTCTTAGCATTTGGGGTGAGATGTTGCACCGATCTCTCAACATCTGCTTCATGTTCAACAGATGTTGCCATTGAGAACACATAAGTTCCTCCATATCTTCCTTTCACCTATGATAAAGAATACAATTTATGATGTAATTTATACCTCCTTTGGATTTCCTATGCACTGAAAGCTACCATCTACAAATATTCCTAATCGATCACATAGGACTTCTTCCTCTTCCATGGAATGTGCTGAAAAGTGTATGCATATATCAATTTAAATGAAGAGAGAATATTGATATTGTTATGAAACCAAATAAACAAGCCAAGTTGATATATCTAAGGCTTACATAATATTTTAGTACCTCATTCTGTTTTTTTTCTAGTCCCTCTTTTTTTTAAAGCATCCCTTGTTATCACTGATAGTGATTTTGGCCACCCCTTTGAGTTTTCACTAATAACATATTACCTTATTTTGTTTATTGATGATATAGAAAGAATGACATGGGTATATTTTTATCAAACAAAGCTCAAAACTTGGCTGAATTTTATGAAAAATGCAACTAATTTTGGAGAGGCTTCTATGCCGAAAGAATAGAATGATGCAATGAAGGAAGAGTTGACCATGGTCAATAATAGTGGTACTTGGGAACTCACAAAGCTAGGCTTATTGTGAAGGAATACTATCAAATTGAAAAAGGTTAATTATGGTGATACATTTTCACTTAGGTTTTAAATCAACCTTCTTGAATGGAGTTTTTTTGAGAAAATTTATGTTGACCAGCCTGCTGGTTTTGTTGTTGTAGGTCAGGAAAATAACATTTACTAGCTTCATGAAGCCTTGTGTTGTGGTCCACCTTCACCTCTAGAACGATAGGAGAAGGCTACAGTCTTACTTGAGACAGAATAGTGGCAGGGCTCAAATCATTAGAGATAAACATTGGGATTCTCTTCTAGAAAGATATAAGCTTTTGGGTTTTGATTGGCCAAAGCATTGCTCTCCTATTTAGAAAATTGATTATTCCCTTATAGAAAGATATAAGCTTTTCTTCTTTCTCATTCTTTCAATTCAATCTCTTTCATTTCTAATAGAAGATGACAGGCTTACATGGTGTAAGTTAGTTTCAAATATTGTGGAGGGATGATCTATCAAAACATCTAACAATGTTGGGTGGTTATATAAAAATGGATGCTTTAAAAACAAGAAGAGGAGCCAAATAAAAAAGAGGGATATTTTGAGGTATTGAGGTACTATTTAAGCCTGTATCTACTCATTTACAACAAGCAGATAATTAACAAAATAAATAAAGAGATGGATCAAATTACTCTAGGAATAACTCTAGCATTTGGTGAAATTCAATATTTATAATGAGTCATTATTTATGCCTATTAATCGGTGTAACTCTATTCAAAGTTATTCCAGGAGTAACTTCATCCCTTCTCACAAATTAATGCAACAATTGGGTAATGTTTCAAAAACCATGAGAGAAAAAGCGTACTGGTGAGGATGATCGCGCGGTCCTGTTTTGCACGCTTAACAACATTCCATAAGTTCTTTCTTGATGCAGGGTACATAATAAGAAAACATAACACAAATATTCCAACCATAGTAATTTTATACAACAGATTGAATTGAAAAGAAAACATACTCTAGGATCTCCTATCAATGAAATTGCAACACTAAGTCTCCTCTTCATTCCTCCACTATATCAGCAACCCCTCCATGAAAAAGGTTTATGCTTTTCAAAGATTCTTCAACTGCCTGCAACATTATATTGGGACTTAAATTTTCATATGTCATGTCTTATTTGCTAAACAAATGCTATAGAAAGAGGTTCAATTTACACCTACACTGCAATCTTGTCATCTAACGATCCATTCACCCTTAAAAGAAAAATATGATAAAGACTATAAAGCTGGGAAGGGAAGGGGGCATAAACTAGTCTAAGGAAATAGACAGGCTGTTCAATTTCCTCTAATGTTTGGCGCTTCACACACTTTATTCATTTATGATATTAAACAAGAACTCTAAGTTACGAAACATTTTTAAAATATTAAAGGTCGAAAATTTCACAAGTTCAATGCCTTTTTTTATAGAGTAAAAACATCAGAAACATATACGTATAAGACAAGTCCTGATCTATTTTCTAACTGTCCCTGCTAAAAAATTTCAAGTCCAAACCTTCTATCCATTGAGTTGATACTATCAACTTAAACTTACTTGTGTTAAAGCCAGACCCTTAAGATTTTTAGTCTTCCACAAAAGAGTAGGTGCTCTCTTCCTGTCAAGATTTCCCACAGCAAGCTAAATACCAAAAGGAAAAAATATATACAATTTTTCAACTGTTACAAGTTTCAAACTAGAAAAACATATAAACTAGAACAAATTCCAGCTTACTCATGCTGGGGGCATACACCCATGCTTGTATATATTCCATTATTATCAGTTCTTATGTCAAGACCTTGAACAAAAGCTGTACCGGAGCTTGGTTTAGCAAGACCTATCATCTGTAAGCATTTATAAGATGGTCTGATTAATGAACTGAGGAGAAAATCCGTCAAAGAAGGCACTGCAAATTTCTCTGGGTTACCATCCTTCCCTTGATAAACCTTTCTTAGCTTGTCACATACAATTGCATAACTCACATTTGGTTCAAGTAGCAGCTGCTCCACCTTCTCCGTCTAAAGAGTAAAAGAAGAAAAAGTAACACATCATATAAGTGTATCGAAGATATACCATATTAAATATGATAAGTTTGCACACAAAAAATTTTTTTGCAACGTAGAGTTCTTCTGATAAAAGTACACGGTTTAGATTTATTGTTCAGGTATAAATAATAAATTTCAAGTATATAAAATGTACAATTTTTTCTAAATAAAATTTTGTGAAAAAATGACGGCCCCGAATAATTCAGAGGACCCAAGAGAGGTTTTGGAAACGATACTTCTATTGAGTCGGCAGAGAGAGGAATGGGAAGCTATGATTCCACACATTGTTGCATGCCATTAGCAAGAAGGAAGGGAATCACTAGATTACCTAGAGCTCTGGCTACCATGCAACATGTTAAGGAATAATACTTTCGTTATTTTTTATCGACATACTTTCATATTCTATTCCGACAGTCTTGGGCTGTTTCTATAGGAAAAGAAATTACACTAGTAATTGTCCCATTAAGTAGGACAAATAATGACAAATAAAATCAGATTTTTTTTCTAACTCTCCTACTTATATGCTATGCAAGAAAAATTCACCTCTCGGTGAATATCTGGTTTCTCAGTCATAACGAAAACTTTAGATCCTTGCCTTTGGATACTAGGCTTCCGAAAAGATGAACTAGGTTTTTTCTGAAATTTTTTCAAGAATAAACAAGGACTTTTCCAACTTCCTGTTGTCAAAACTTGATTGACATAAGAAGCTGAGAATAGAACCAATATCCACTCCACAAATATGATGATCAAGACCTCTTTCATGCCATTTGTGCTATCACTGAGATCTCCCCATGGCATACCATGAGTCCCCAAATATCACCACTAAAGTAGATTGTGAAAATTCATATAGCCCACAATATAAAGCAAACCTATGATATAACTCCATAACAATGATCCACCCTCTTGAAGCAATTGTAAAAGCAATCAAAAGACCAAAAGAAAGGTTAGGACCCAAAAAGACGTCTCACATGAAACACAAGTTATAAACATTTCTCAACACAATGATAATATTAAGCATGGTATAAAACGAAATAAACATTGAATTTGATATTGATGCAACCTTAAATGCTGGCTCATGATAATATCATGATATGTTGTAAGCGCAAATTCAGCAGCAGTTCCTTTAAAATAACTACATCAAACTATATTTGGAAAAACTTTGACCAGGATGAACATCATTTCTCAATTATTTGACTTACTCGGAAACGATTTATCTTGAACAAAAAATTGGAAAAGAAAACCAGATAATAACCCTGTTCCAAAAATACCTATATATGCAATCACTGTCATTACAAAAGAAGAAGAAGAAGAAGAAGTTAGTAATCAGATCTGATAAAAAAATATCCATAACATAGCTTATCTATCATCAAACCTTGTAATAAAAAATAATACATGTTACATTGGAGGTATAAAAAGCTTAGAGAGTACAACAATTTATGAGACTAATAAGGAAACTAATAACCCATGTGTACAAAATGCAAAATTGAGGGATATGATAAAAACAAATGGAACACTAATCTCTGTACTAAATTTGAGAATATGTAACAGTTGGCTGTTAAGATCTGCCATAAAGGGCACAGATAAGGTGGTGATTGAGTGGAATTAAATCCAAATCCATATCCAACAAATGTTCCCCACATGAGTTTGAATTTCATTCAACAAAAGAGAAAATGAAATTCAAACTCTGAGGCTTATTCAAAAACTAAGATTTAGCCATGTAAACTCATTATTTTCTTTATTATTACCATGTTAACCCATTCAGCAAGCAATGCCAGTAATTTCTTCTCATTTCTGCTAAATTCTTTTGTTACAATACAAACAACTCAGTTCTTTGCAAATATTTTACTCACATATTTGAGTACTTACAGGGAAAAGTTGCAGGATAACCCATGTAAAGAAGAGACCGCCCAAAAGAGAAGCCAAATCAAACTTAATTGGGGTCTTAGGTTTTGGCATTTCTTTTACAAATTCAAACAACATTTTGGTACCAGGTCCCAGCCGAAACTGAAGGTAGGCATTTGATTCCTGCAATGATATAGATATTAGACATGAAATGCAAGCTCTGAGCATAACCCATCTAGAAAGAAATATGGCAATACATTAAAAAATAATAATCTGTACACTCCATACAAACATATTCTGAATACTCTGTAAGACAAGTTATTTTCAGAAGGCTACTATCCTTGTCAAAGTGTTTCTGATGCAACACAAAAGTTACAATTATAATCATTTGACACTAAGATAACTGTCACAGATTCAACTTAGTCCTATTTTGATAGACTTAACTTATGCTAATGAATAGAGTTTAACTTAAAGGACATTTTCAACTGAATTAAGTATTAGTTCTTACTTCTTAACTTAAAGCAATTCTTTCTTCATTTCATTCCAATGGCAATAACTTATGCAACACATGAAAGACCATAGTTCAGATAATGGCAGCTAGACATAGATAGGACCGCCCGAGCTAACATATGAGCAACCATATTGACTTGCCTCTTAATGGACTTAACAGTAAAACTTTGACCGAAGGATAGCTCTACTACTGAGGATTATAATATGATTGTATTTTGCTACATCAGATTTTGCAGTATGACACTGTCTAGAGTCAACCACAAAAATAACACAAAAATTGTTCATAAGTAAATCATCATACCTATTATTTATTTTCCTGTTATCATATATATCTTACAAGAAAAATATGAACACAAGCAAGTCTCATTCATACCTTGCTGTATGCTAGTGGTTGATATTTGAATAGGAATGGAGAGTGAAGAGTTCTTATTACATTGACTTTGTAGATAGTAAATGGGAAGATCCGAAAAGAAAGCAGGCTCCAGAAAATTGGTGTTCTCTGTCTCTGATGCCGATCCCTATAACATTTTGATGTTTTCCCCATCATTCCTTTCATATAAAAAAAAACATAGTGTAAGATATTTGGGTATGATAATCCTGGATAACTTCGAAGAATCGTGTTCGTACACTTTCCAAACAAAGTACTTCGACCCTATTCTTGCCTGGGTTCACGAAATCTTTGTGGGGATAATTCTCGAAGAACAATCTGTTTCTGGTAAAAGAAAACTGATTACAAATGTAGAGAGAAAGTATTGTTTTTTTTCGTATCTGAAACCGAGGCCGAATGACTCCTTATATAGGAGATCAATAACTGAAATCGAAAAGACACACCTGTTCGGAAAAACGGTTATGTCGGTTGGGGACCGAAAAGACACACCTGTTCGGAAAAACGGTTATCTCGGTTGGGGAAAATGATTCAAAATTTTCGAACGGGGCGCTGCCCCGCACCCCGCCCGCTGACCCCAGCCAGGGGCTCCGCCCCTTGGACCCCAACGGGGCGCTGCCCCGCACCCCGCCAGGGGATTCGCCCCTTGGAACCCCAACGGGGCACTGCCCCGTACCCCGCCAGGGGCTTCGCCCCTTGAAACCCCGTTTTAATTATTCATGTTCAATTATACATTGGCTCGACGAGCGTGCACTTCGCACTTCCCTAACTCGTTTCTAAGCTTAACGCATAATTGCATCGGCCTTTAGTAAATCACATTACTACTAAAATACATTGGTGATACTAAAATCACCAACACATAGTAAGAGAAGACATTAAATTTGTTAACTCACCATGACATTTGTTGCCAAATTATCCATAACATCCTTGTTATTTATACCAAAAGTACTTGGAATCATATTCCTTGACAAGACTATAAAAGAGAGAAAATAGGATCAGAAGACATTAAACATCTAAGTAACTTCAAAACAAACCATCAGTTATGCAAGAAAAAAACTGTAAGTAAAGTAAAAGAAAGAATAAAAGAAGCAATTAGATTGAATAATCACTCAGTTTAATCCTTCAAATATCACTCTATGTCTCACTTACTCTATAAAGTCTATCAAAATCCACCTCATTAGTCTTTAAAGCATGTGAAAACCCAGTCTGTTAATCCCTAATATCTTAGTGGTAGCACTAATCTTAACGGCGAGACTAACGAGACAAGTACAAGAACAAGTGATATGCTAGAGAAACTAAATTCAGAGTTTATTCTGTTAGAGATATTAGCATTAGTTACAAATTAGTTGCAAGTTAGTTATAAATTGGTTACTCGATGAGAGTTAGTTATTAGTTGCAAGTTAATAACAAATTGGTTACACTAGATGACACTTAATTATATTAAAGGGGGTAATTTAGTATTTGCTATATTTGAAATATTCTCTTTTAGGGTCTATGTGGCATTCTTATCTTTGCTATCTTTGTGTATAAATAAGTGTATTAGGTTTCATTAATATTATTCAATTCAATTCCTTACCAATCATTTGTAGCAGCTTTTTATCATTCATCATTTTCTCTCTTCTTCCTCAATTTCATCACATTGCACTAACAAATTGGTATCTAGAACACTTGGTTCTTCTGAATTTCTGGGAAACACGAGTGAAAGTGAGCTGTGTGTTTGATTTGTGTTGAATCTTCAACAAAATCTGAACAGAATCACACTGATTCTGTGGGTTTGGGAAACACTGAGTGAGATCCGAGATCTGAGATTTGTGCAAGGTTTAAGATGAGTGGAGGCAGTAGTTTGAACACTAAACTTCCAGTCTTTGATGGCAAAAGCTGGAACAGATGGATGATACATATGCGTGTGTTGTTTGGTGCTCAAAATGTTATGGATCTTGTTACCAATGGTTATGTTCCAGTTGCAGCAGATGCTACTGAAGAACAAAGATATGCGGAGCTACGAGGAAGAGGGATCAGAAAGCTCTGTTCTATATCCATCAGTGTGTGGATCAAAGTGTGTTTGAGAAGATTGTTGATTCGACGACGTCGAAAGAGGCATGGGATATACTGGTCAGATGTTACGGTGGTGACGCGTCAGTGAAAAAGGTGAAGCTTCAGTCTCTGCGAAAGCAATATGAGAATCTCAACATGAAGAACAGTGAGAAAGTTTCTGAGTACATCTCCAGAATGATTCTGATCACTAATGAGATGAAAGCTTGTGGAGAAACACTTTCTGAACAGGTAATCATAGAGAAGATTCTGAGGTCGCTTACTCCTCAGTTTGATTACATTGTTGTTTCTATTGAACATTCTAAAAATATGGAAACCATGAGAATAGAAGAGTTGCAAAGCAGTCTAGAAGTGTAGGAGTTGCGTCTGATTGAAAGAACTTCTGAGAGGAAAGTTGAGCAAGCTCTGAAGGCTTCTTTTGTCAAGAAGGACCAGAAGCAGAATAGACGTGGTGATAAATTCCAGAAGTCAAAAACCTCAACTTCTGATGAAAAGAACTATCAGAAGGGAAAGGAAAGGTGTGACAAGAAGAAGGTTCAATATTACTGTTGTAAACAGTTTGGCCATTTTGACAGAGATTATAGAAACAGAGGAAGGAAATCAGAAGAAGCAAATATAGCCAGAGGAGATTCTGATGATGAACTTGTGCTACCGATGGCTTCTGATTCTGATGGAAAGTGTTCAGAAGATTGGTGGTATATGGATACTGGTTGTTCAAACCACTTGACTAGGAACAAACAATGGCTGATAAACTTTGATTCCAGAAGGAGAACAAAGATCAGATGTGTTGATGATAAGTATCTTAATGCAGAAGGTATGGGAAATGTCAGAGTCAGAGTAAAGAATGAAAAAAAACATTATGATTAAAGATGTTTGGTATGTTCCTGGAATTAAAAGCAATCTGATGAGTGTGAGTCAGCTCATTGAGAAAAGTTTCTCAATTGTTATGAAGGACAACCTCTTGACGTTATATGATTCCAATCATAAGTTGATTATGAAGTATGAGCAGGGAAGTAACAGAACATTCAAGGTGAATGTAGAGACAACTGAAGCAGAGTGTCTTAGTGCAGAAGGCGCTAAAGGTGACAGTAAGTTGTGGCACAAGAGGTTGGGGAACTTGAACTATAGAAGCTTAGGGCATCTAAGTTCTAAGAAGCTTGTACATGACATTTCGAAGATTGTGAAGCCTGATAAGTCATGTGAGATATGCATGAAAGGAAAACAACCCAGATTGCCATTTGCATCAGAAGTAGCCCCCGGAGCGAAGCATGCTTTGGGAGTAGTATATTCTGATGTGTGTGGACCATTTTCAGTATCTTCACTTGGAGGAAACAAATATTTTGTGTCTTTTGTGGATGAGTTCACAAGAATGACATGAGTAACACTCATCAAGTTCAAGCATGAAGTGTTTACTGAATTTCAGAAGTTCAAGGTGAAGGTTGAGAAGCAGAGTGGTCAGAAGTTGAAGATTCTGAGAACGGATGGTGGAGGTGAGTATAACTCTACAGAGTTCCAGAAGTTATGTGAGGAGAATGGAATAGAACATGAGGTTACTGCTCCATATACTCCTTAACACAATGGTCTTGCTGAAAGAAGAAACATAACTTTGTTTGATATGACCAGAAGTATGCTGAAACAGAAGAAGCTACCTCACATGTTATGGGGAGAAGATGTTTCCACATCAACATATGTTCTGAATAGGTGTCCAACGAAGAAGCTGAAGGAAATTGTTCCTTTAGAAAAGCGGACTGGAGATAAGAAAAGTGTTAGCCATCTGAGCGTGTTTGGTTCTGTATGCTACAACACGTTCGAGAAGCTAGAAGACGGAAACTGGATGATAGAAGCAAAGTAATATTACTGGTAAGGTACCACAGTACAGGTGCCTATAAGTTTTATTGTCCATAAACCAACAAAGTTGAAATCAGCAGAGACGTTATTGTGAAAGAGTCGGAAACATGGGATTGGAACAAGCCTCAGTCAGATTCTGGTGTAGCGCCAACACCAGAGTTAGTTTTAGAAGATTCTTCAGAAAGTTTTGAAGACGAGTCAGAGTCAGAAGATGAATCTGATTCTGAAGACTCTGAAGATGAGTCAGGGTCTCAGAGATTCTGATAGTGGATCTGATAGTGGATCTGATTCTGATCCAGATTCTGATGATGATCCAGAATCTGGTGTTGATTATATTTCTGGAAGGGAAAACTCTGAAGACATAGGGTCTTAAGGACAAGCTTTCAGAAGTAACTCTGGAAGTGGTAATTCTGAAGGAATTAGTTATAGATAAGGTCCAGAACCTAGCACTGTTCCAAGTTCTGGAGAAGCTTCAGAACAAGTTCAGAGGTCACAGAGAATCAGACAAATACCAAGTAGGTTTGCAGATTTTAGCATGTTGCACGACACTGAAGTAGATTCTGAAGGAGAAGTCGTTCAGTGTGCCATGTTAGTAGATTCTGAACCAGTAGGTATTGAAGAAGCTCTCAAGAATAAAGTATGGTTGAATTCCATGAAGGAAGAACTTGAGGCTATTGAAAGAAACAAAACTTGGAAGTTGACAAAGCTTCCAGAAAAGAAGAAAGCCATCCCTGTCAAATGGGTTTTCAAGGTGAAGCTTAAGCCAGATGAATCAATTGGCAAACACAAAGCGAGACTAGTGGCTAGAGGTTTTCTTCAGAAACCTGGGCTAGATTACTTTGAGGTGTTTGCGCCTGTAGCTAGACATGAAACAATCAGACTGGTGATTGCTTTAGCTACAAATAGAAATTGGCCTTTGATATATCTAGATGTGAAGTCTGCATTTTTGAATGGTTCATTACAAGAAGAGGTATATGTGTCACAACCTCCTGAATTTGTGAAAAAGAATCAGAAAGGGATGATATACAAGTTACATAAAGTCTTGTATGGACTGAAACAAGTGCCCAGAGTTTGGAATTTGAAAATTGATTTATTTTTCAAGAGGCAGAAGTTTCAGAAATGTGAGATGGAATATGGTGTGTATGTGCAACATTCTGGTGGCAATATGATTCTGGTGTGTCTATATGTTGATGACATATTGCTAACAGGAAGTTGTCCAGAAGATATAATCAAGTTCAAAGAAGTTCTGATGAATGAAT